GGATGAATAAAGTCTGTTATCATAATATTATTGATTCACTGTCACACAAACATTAACAGACAGTCACCAGTCAGTCGTGTTTCAGCCGCGACTGTAAACTGGTCAGTTGTCAGAGACGTGTCTTCAGTGATAATGAATGTTGAAGCTGCACTTGTTGATTCTTTAAATGACTCTGATGGATGATTGATGGGGAGGTTCTTTTTTTAAAAGTCAAACTTCACTAAAGTTTTCTCAGTTTCTGAAACTTGATGAATCAAACATTCTTAATTAATGAACCGTTCGTTGAAGTCTGAGGACACAAATGTTTTATTGCTTCTGATCATCGACTGAAGAGTTGATGACGTTTATCTGATCAACCACGTGACGTTATTTAAAACTCCTGAAAACGACTTTCACTCTGTTTGTCTCACTTCGCTTCCCGTAGAGAGGAGTGGGCGGGGCCCAGAGAGGTCAGGGGAGCGATGCATGCTGGGAAAGCACGTGTTTGCGGAGACGTGAAGTTGCGTCGTGTTTCTGATCGTTTTCGTTGTTTCTCGAAAACTTGACGTTGATTTCACTCGGTGCTGCCGGTGAGTGTGACGTCACCCCGCTGTGTCGCTGTGTGGGGAAACGTTTTATTTGATTTAATTTGATTGAATCAGATTTTTCTCCTCAGATTCAGATTCTGTCTGACGTGTTTCTCATTGAATCACCAATCTTTAGTTTATTCATTCGTCAGAAATGATTTAAAACCTTCTAAACTAAAAGAACCTCAGTTTATTATTCAGTAAAAATCTCCTTCACATAAGATAAGATTATACTTCATTATTGGGGGGGGCAGTACATCAGCAAGTACTCAGTAACAAGAAGTACTTCAGTGTGAGGAATATAGAAATACTAATATGACTGAAGTATTGTGATGGCACAGGATGTCGCAGGGGCTCATGGGAGTGCTGTGTTTTGTTTACGTTCACACTTGGGTCATGTGGTTTGTGTGGTTGTGTAGGGGGAGGGGCGTGAGCTGATAATAGGAATTCAAATAGTTTATTAAAACATGAATACAACCAAAGCTGCAGTCTGTGGGGATCTGACTGATCGTTTGCTGTGTCCTGGAGGTGGCGCTGTGACTCAATATCTTCTTGGGTCTAAATTCACTAAAATGTTCCCGAACAATCGTCACATCGAGACGTAACATTTTACAGTCAGCTGTAAATAGAAGTTTTTATTAAAGTTCAGTTTCATCCCTCACATGAACTGATGATTTAAAGAATCAGTCAGTCACACCTGATGCTCCGTCATTATCCAAACATAAAGACGTGTGGGGGTGTGGTTTAAACTCGTCACACGATGTTTTAACACAAAACCACTTCACAGCTCGAGTCCAAGTTCTTAACGTGTTTCCGTTTTGTTTTTCAGGATTTTTCCACAATGTCGTCCAAAAAGAACCAGGGCGGCGATGAGCGCTTCGCTCGGGTGCAGAGGGACCCGCGCTTCTGGGAAATGCCCGAGAGGGAACGCAAGGTCAAGATCGACAAGCGTTTCCAGTCCATGTTCCACGAGAAGCGCTTTCAGGTGAAGTCCACAGTGGACAAACGAGGCCGCCCCATCAACCACACCTCCTCCGAAGACCTGAGACGCTTCTACAAACTGGACTCCGAGGACGAAGAGGACGTGGAGAGAGAGGAGGTGACGGAGAGAGGGAAGAAGGTGAAGCTGGTGAAAGGTGAGAGAGAAGCAGTGCAGAGCAAAGAAGATGAAGACGAGGAGTCTGAAGATGAAGGTGAGAGGATGATCTTCATCCACTAGTTTCAGTTGTTCACTTTATCACATCGTTTAATTTCCAGCTGAAAGTTCTCAGTTAACTTCGTTGTTTCATCTGAGACGAAAAAAGAAAAAGCTGTGACATCGGTCGTTGTCGTCTCTCACTGTGAGGGATGATGGGAGTTGTAGTCTTCATTATAAGCTAGTTGTCATGGTGCAGCAGTGAGGGATGATGGGAGTTGTAGTCTTCATTATAAGCTAGTTGTCATGGTGCAGCAGTGAGGGATGATGGGAGTTGTAGTC